TGGTATGGTATATGGTATGGTATATGGTATGGTATATGGTATGGTATATGGTATGGTATATGGTATGGTATATGGTATGGTATATGGTATGGTATATGGTATGGTATATGGTATGGTATATGGTGTGGTATATGGTATGGTATATGGTATGGTAATGGTATGGTATGCCATAGACTCATCCAAATATATACAGTTGTTTTATATTTTACCTGATTGCATCACGAGGCTTAGTGGGCCACTGTGTGATCATACCAACCCCATCCATCCATGCGTTATTAAACTGATGTATGCCATGCCAATGAATCGAGATATTGGCGTTTGTCGGGTTCTCCTTGTCATCGATTTCATTGTAAACATCAGCGACTACCAGTTGACCGTACTTTATGATAATAGTTGGACCAATTCTTCCTCCGTTCACACTGAAAATTTGCGATTCATCAATCTTTGCTGGATCGTCTCGCTTATTTTTTGTAATTGTCAATTTTATGAAACATTTTTGCCAGAGAGTAGCCGTGCAATCACAGACGCCAGGATTGTATGCAGTTTGAGGTGTACAAACGATGTAATTAACATGATTGATCCAAGCTGTCGCGACGTGAAGCGCGACCAGTATGAGAAAAAGGCACTGCATACCAGCTAAGAAGAGAAGAAGCATGTAAGATATGAATTAACTCACTCCGAGACCAAGATTCGCTGCTACACAACCCTTTAACTGCAATAGTTAAATCCGGTCTACCAGACCGAACTCATAATTATGATAACCCGCAACTCTTACCGATAATGCCTGAACGGTTAAAGAACTTTTTTACCATTAAATATAGTTAAATTTTTATGAATACATTTTTATAATAGGTAGTTTAATAGTTAGAGTATATTATCGTAATTTACCCTAATTTAGGATAGAATACATATACTATCATACTATATAGCACTGTTAACGTAAATTTTAGTATTTAAATAATGTAAATATTGTTTCCATGTAATTCAACTTTAGCTGAAAAATGGATTTAATTAAACTAATAATAATAAATAATAATAAATAATAATAAATAATAATAAATAATAATAAATAATAATAATAATTAGTATAATTACATAGGTGATTATTGAAAATTCTCCACGCTGATTGGTTGCCGTTGAGGTGATTATTACGCGATAATCACCTAAGCGATTTTCAAAATGGCGGCCGAGGCCTTTTTGTCAATTAAATGACGAAGAGATGTGTATTTTTTAATTTTTTTCCAAATAATCACCTATGAAATTATACTAAAACAATTATTCACCTCAGGCTCGGTGATTATCGTGAATAAAAACCTCGACTTCGTCTCGGTTTTTATTCGCCGATAATCACCTCGCCTTCGGCGAATAATTGTTAAATAATAATAAATAATAATAATAATAGTAATAATAATACACTAATACACACTAATACACACTAATACACACTAATACACACTAATACACACTAATACGCACTAATACACACTAATACACACTAATACACACTAATATACACTAATACTAATATATACAGGGTGTATAAAAACAGATTATCCAAGTTTGACATATTATCGTGCTTTAATAGTTAATACGTCCATAGGTTTTCTGTTTGCGTATTTATAAATATCAGGGGCCGGTTGTATAAAAAAGTGATTAAAGTTAACTATGGTTAAGTGCAAACGTCATCCAATAAGCGCCTATTTCAGAGTTAATCACAATTTAACTACAAAATAGTGATTAAAAAAGTGATTAAGAGTTTTATACAACCGGCCCCAGGCTTTTAGCTGGAAAATGACACCTTTATGGAATGATTGTGATAAAAATGACCAAACGCGATCTGATTTAAAGTGGCCGGTCGAAGCCCCCAGACCCCCACCGCTTTTGGTCACCAACACCATCTGCCATCTCATTCATTCCAATGGTCATCTCTCCACACTCAGTATAATAGGGGACCGTTCGTTATTTATACCTGGGGTTGGTATAGCGAAGAGAAGCAAAAAATAGTGTAAATGTTTTATTAACCCGACCTCAACATTGGTCAAAATAATGTTTACTCAACCCATGTGTTACTGTACTTGAAAATAATTAAACACACAAGATTATGGTGACAGAAATCAAGTTGCCCAAATTCTAAAAGCTCACTCACAATCAAACACACTGAGTGTGCCAAAGCATCACGTTCCTGCTGATCAATGATAGAGTCCTTCCTCAGTCACGGATGGTCTATTTTGGTACAGAATGTATTGTACACATTTTTCTTCATATTTTCCAATGCATGGTAATTTTGGTTTTATTTTATAGCTGACAGACAGCCATAATTTTTTTTACCCAACCCATGAGCTAGTCAAAAACTTGATTACCCAACCCGTATCTCTTCGGTACCAGCCCCGTGGGTATAAATAATGAACCCTAGCAGTTTGGGGTAAGTCCTCCAATCGTAGGTTTGGAATTTTGTGACATCATATTTAAAAAAAAAACGATTGCAAAAAAACAAATGCAGTTAACTAACAATAAATACAGTTAACATAAAAGGTTAACACAATAAATACAGTATAAATACAGTTCACAATACATATGTGAATAAGAAAATTACCTGTTGCCGAAATGGTATCAAGAGAAAATAGCGCAATAGCCAATAACAACAGAAAGCTACAAATTCCGTTGGAACAGTTAAATGCAAGCTTACTTACTAATCCTGTCCCCGCATTGTGTTCCAGATGCAAATTTTGAGGTCTCTAATGCGAATTTTGTAGGGGAAGCTACAGCTCGTCACGGAATTCATTGTGTAACTGTGGTGTTAAATCTTTTATCTCTCTAGTAAATCATTGTTTCTGCTTAATAGTTAATCCCCTATTGCGTTGATCGTCGTGATCAATGCAATAGAGGATTAAACAAAAACAATGACATACTAGTGATAAAAGATTTAACACCAAGTTACAACAATGAATCTCGAGTCTAATTAAATGCAATGAACTCGGGGGAAACGTACGTTAATTGCAATTCCGGTCCGAATTAGTAACCGAAAGCGAATAAGGAGAAATAAATAGAGCCGGCGGGAAGAGAAAACCCGTGACTGTTTTTTATCACCTCTAAGAAATCACAACCTATCCCCAGATATTGGAAAGAACACTTACGAGTTTTTAGTTTTAGACTCATTTTGCAAGAGCATAGTCTGTGAAGATATGATGACCTGGAAGCCAGGCAAACTACAAAGCTACAAAATAGAAGACCTTTGTTTCATGTTGAACTGTACCGCACCGCGCACAAATTCTTTGTCTCAACTTCATTAAATATTATTCATCGTGGTTGCACGTTTCATCTCAGCTATCCCTATTGGACGGTTACTTCATTATACGAAAATACAATGAGCTCAATCACCATGACTGTGCACAAATGAGCATAAACTCCGACAAAAACATAATACAATGACTTCTGTTTAGTTCCCAGGGACCGATTGTATAAAAAAGTGATTAAAGTTAACTATGGTTAAGTGCAAACGTCATCCAATAAAAAGCGCCTATTTGAGAGTTAATACTATTTAACTACAAAATAGTGATTAAAAAAGTGATGAAGAGTTTTATACATTCAACCGGCCCCTGATCATCATATCTTCATAGACTATATGGCATGATACAAATCTTGGCTTTACAAATCTACGAGGTAAATTTATTCCAAGATGTGAAAATCTAAGTGACTACAATTTTAGAAATGGCAATACCAATCTTATAATAGCTAGGCCTAATACAGATTATCTCAAAAAAAACTTTATGTGCATGTAGTGGGGATGTGTTATGGAACCGAGTTTGCCAGCAGAAGCGAAGCTGGCAGATTCAATTGGCATCTACAACTAATCAGCTAATAGGCATTGAATCAGCTAGGTGTCTCGTTCTAGTTTACAATTTTATGACATTTGTAGTTTCGTTCAGTTTCAACTTTTACGCCCATATTCTAAAAGCTCACTCCCACTCAATGAGTGGAGGTTCAATCTGAGCTTCTCTCGAGTGTCATTGCTGTTTTTGAATAGCTGGAGGGTGAGTGTCGTATCTTACTATGTGACTACTCACCCTCCAGCTATTCAAAAACAGCATTAACACTCAAGAAAAGTTCAGATTGAACCTCCACTCATTGAGTGTGAGTATGAGTGAGCTTTTAGAATACGGGCGTTAGTGTGTTTGTATGTTGTAACAGTCTCAATAGCATGACGCCCTCATGCCTCATGAAGATCATTTTATAGATGGTGAGAGTAGCGCTGTGAAATAAAGTTTTGCCGGATCATGTCATAAAAAACTGATGAATCACAATGAAAACTGAAATCCCGCGACGATCCGAACAGTCGCGGGATTTATTTCCTACACAACAGCATGCAACCACTTATTAGAACAAAAATTCTTTGTATTGCATGGCAGTAAATCTTGTGTAATTCTTTGTATTACCACCTAATACCTTGTGTGAAATTCTTTGTATTACAACCTAATTAGAACAAAAATTCTTTGTATTGCTTGGCAGTAAATCTTGTGTGATTCTTTGTATTACCACCTAATACCTTGTGTGAAATTCTTTGTATTACAACCTAATTAGAACAAAAATTCTTTGTATAGCTTGTAAAACTTGTGTGAGCCGTGAAATACATTGAAAATTTAATTAACTCAGTTCTCAAATCAGTAAAATGGTAAATCGCTGCAAATTACAGCGTTGTCGCACCAGAGTTGGAGTCAAAACTACAGGGTGTTCGGCTTCAAATTTATCCTCAGAGTCAGATTAATCTAAAATGTTGCAATATAAGCACTTGGTATCGTGGTTCGCCACGTGTGCCGTTCGAGCTGGGAGACCTGGGTTCAATCTTTGGGCGGACCTCTACTGAAGCTTTAAAATAATTTTGAGGAGAAAGAGCTACCTTTACATTGACATCAGTGAACGGTTTAATTAGACTTTAGCGCGGTCTTCTCGAATAAGGACGTAAATCGTAGGTACCCCGGATCCCGCATCAATTGGCAACAGGCTGTTGGGAAATCGCTCGTCATATTCTAAAAGCTCACTCGCACTCAATGAGTGGAGGTTCAATCTGAGCTTCTCTCGAGTGTCATTGCTGTTTTTGAATAGCTGAAAGGTGAGTGTCGTACCTTACTATGTGACTTACTCACCCTCCAGCTATTCAAAAACAGTATTAACACTCAAGAAAAGTTCAGATTGAACCTCCACTCATTGAGTGTGAGTATGAGTGAGCTTTTAGAATACGGGCGTTAGTGTGTTTGTATGTTGTAACAGTCTCAATAGCATGACGCCCTCATGCCTCATGAAGATCATTTTATAGATGGTGAGAGTAGCGCTGTGAAATAAAGTTTTGCCGGATCATGTCATAAAAAACTGATGAATCACAATGAAAACTGAAATCCCGCGACGATCCGAACAGTCGCGGGATTTATTTCCTACACAACAGCATGCAACCACTTATTAGAACAAAAATTCTTTGTATTGCAAGGCAGTAAATCTTGTGTAATTCTTTGTATTACCACCTAATACCTTGTGTGAAATTCTTTGTATTACAACCTAATTAGAACAAAAATTCTTTGTATTGCTTGGCAGTAAATCTTGTGTGATTCTTTGTATTACCACCTAATACCTTGTGTGAAATTCTTTGTATTACAACCTAATTAGAACAAAAATTCTTTGTATAGCTTGTAAAACTTGTGTGAGCCGTGAAATACATTGAAAATTTAATTAACTCAGTTCTCAAATCAGTAAAATGGTAAATCGCTGCAAATTGCAGTGTTGTCGCACCAGATTTGGAGTCAAAACTACAGGGTGTTCGGTTTCAAATTTATCCTCAGAGTCAGATTAATCTAAAATGTTGCAATAGCACTTGATATCGTGGTTCGCCACGCGTGCCGTTCGAGCTGGGAGAGCCAGGTTTAGCGCGGTCTTCTCGAATAAGGACGTAAATCGTAGGTACCCCGGATCCCGCATCAATTGGCAACAGGCTGTTGGGAAATCGCTCACCAATGAGTGAGCCAATTCAATAAACTCAATCTCTAGAGACTTTAACAAAGTTAGTATGAATGTAAAGGATTTATGTAGGATATAAGATAAAACTGTTCATATACCTGCTTCTTTCTGCTTTGATTTGATGGGGCGATTTTTTCAGCAAATTGAACCGAACTAAAATGAAATATGTAAAAGTAAAAAGAAGATTATTAACTAAATGATGGCTAGCAAAATCTAGCGAGATTCCCCCAAGAATAGGCGAAACATTTTAAGCTGTGACAATAAGCTAGATATGTGAATACCAGCGTCTTTCTGTCTTGATACTTCTGTCTTCAACCAAGAGCAATTCAAATGAGTAATGAGATGTGAAATGAACGCGCTTTTTATCCGTTCGGATAGCTAAGTTGCAAGTCGTCCTAAGCATGCGCATTTCGCGTCAGTGGTACCATGCGAGCTGACGGAAACGCGGCATTCAAAACACTTGATATCCTGCTTGATATACACTGACAGCCGGAGTTAGCATCTTACGGGTTTAACACGCAATGCAACACTTGGCTGGATTTTGTTCCCATATCAACAACGTGTCAAAACACCCGTCGAAAAATGCTATTACAATAAGTCTTCTCAAAATTTGGCAGCCACTTCGAGGAATTATTCATTATACAATATAGTCGATACAGCACAAATATTGTTAATCGAATCGTTTCAAATGGTATTTTCCAGTCGCGTAGCCAGACCTTCATTTTTTATTGGGGG